TGAGCTATAGGCGCCGAGCCGATAGATTGATTTTAATTACAAGCTGGACAGTCACCAATTTTTAAAAAATTGGCAGATTAGACCACCGTCCAAAACCACCGTCTTGCATGACCAGCAATGTAGTTTGCATTTGGCACCACAGAAACTCAAACCAACACTGCAAACATTTATTTGCTTACTTAAGAAGATGAGAAGTCAAGAAGGGCCAAGACAACCAAGGCCTTCTCCGCCATCAAGCTGGCCTTTTCATAGACAAGACTGACAACTCCTGAGAGTTCTGCCTCCTGGTCCTATCCCAAGAGCTCTCACGTAACACGTTTTAGTCCCATGGCCATTCTAAAACTCTTCCTGTCATAGACCAGAGTGGTCTCTCTGCAGTGAGAATATCTGAAAATGTTCAGAAAAAGGACTGGTATTGTGAGAGGATCAAAGAGGCTCAAAGGGGTAGGAGGAGCGGGGTCTTTCTTTCATTTGGATGAAAAATCTGTTGTCCTATGTCAAAGCCCCAGTATTTTCTTCATTGTGAAGTTTGAATGCTGCTGATCTCTAGCCCTTCTTAAGCAGGGTCAACGGCAATTTCTGTTCCAAATCGCCATGTTAATAATGACACACCTTGGCTTGGTGCCAGTAGCACAGTGGTTACAGTGCCAGCCACATACACTGAGGGTGGCGGGTTCAAACCCAGCCCAGGCCAGCTAAACAACTGCACACACACACAAAAAAAAAATAGCCAGCTGTTGTGGTGGGTGCCTGGGATCCCAGCTACTTGAGAGGCTGAGGCAAGAGAAACCCTTGAGCCCAGGAGTTTGAGGTTGTTGTGAGCTGCTGTGACTACATGGCACGCTACTGAGGGTGACATAGTTAAGACTGCCTGAAAAAAAAAGGAATGATACAGCTCTTGGAGACAGAACACAATTATAAGGACTTTACCTAACAAATGCAATCAGTGCAACCTGGTTCTCTGTACGCTCAAGGAATCCCCAACAATAAAAAAGAATGTCCTAATTGAGACCGATACAACACATCTTCTTTCATGACACTTCGAGCCTGGCCCAATATCTAAACCAATCCTATTTACTCTCCCTATAGAATCAATTATACAAAAGGCTATTAAGCCTATCACTTCAAAACTTTCAAATGTAAAGATGAATTGTTTGCCCTTAAAATGAAAATAGTGAATCATCCCCACATGGTAAAGAATTGCTTCATATCACTTAAAGAACTTCAAAATACAACATCTCTAGTACAGCAAGGTGTGTAGTTCCTTGTGAGGAAATAGGAGAGAGTTACTAACTCAGCTTAGGGATGCTTAAAAACAAAAACTCGTAGGAGAAGGTGAGATGGAGATTGTTACTTTTTACCATTTCATGATACCTAGACATTAGGTTTCCTCATTTCTGCCTCAAATACTTTAACCACCATGATGCCCCATTGCTTTACAATCGATATGTGCACAAGAACAAAGAAAAAGGGGAGTGAAAATTCAACTGACACAGTTCTGGGTTTTGCCATTTGCCAGCTGTTTGAGGTCAAGCACATTAGACCAGGCAGAGTCTTACATTCCATGTAAACTGACGGGGCTGGGCTATGTGGTCCTGGGCACCTCTCCAGTTCTGACTGGCAAAGACACACAGAATCTCCAAGTGGAACAGTCAGCCCACGACTTACACCAGCAGCTGTGCTAGGAAACCAAAGAGTCCCAGAGGCTTCTCCTTGGCTTTTCACCCAAAATGAAGATTCATTCATTATCTACTGGTATCTCCAGCAGCCAAAATGATCGGAGGGATTTAAAACTCGATTCAAGGAAAAACCTTGTCTGTAAGTATTTAAAGAGGTTTGGGGGACTCTTGAGGTTTTCCTGAATCTGACATGTCTTAAATAATAGTGAAAGGGGTGGGGTAAAGAAAAGCAAACATATAACTTACTCCCACTAACAACTGACTATAAAACACTCAACAAACACAACATGTAAAGTACAAAGCTGGTAATAAATTGGGACATCTGTGGATGGCACACATATGGACGTACCCATAGCATGCAGCGTCATTAAACCTTGCAAAATAGCCATCGTTTCAGGACTA